TATATATATATATATATATACATATATATGTATATATTTCACGCGCACGCCGTTGTAAAACTTCTTAAAAAGAAAAAAAATGATAAGAGATAAGACCCTTTGCATAAGCGGCGTATGAGAATAGGAAAAGAAAAATAGATCGAAGAAGAATGAAAAAAAAAAAAAAAACAAACAAAAACCTGAAAAAAAGAAAACAAATATCTACTACTACCCACCTTTTAACCTACCTACCTTTAACAACCTTACTTACTTTTCTTGTAAACAAAAATAATGCGTTTAAAACGCACTATTCTTTCTGTAAACTTTCAATCGTCCGTCTTTATACTTTTCTTCGCTTTAAAAAACGGGGGAAAAATCACCACACCTTTCATCGTCGTCTTCGTTGTCGTCGTCGTCGTTGCTGTCATCTTCGTCGTCGTCGTCATCGTCGTCATCGTCGTCGTCTCGATCAATTTTACACCCCTCTGTATTCTTTTACTTGTTTATTTCTTCTCATTTATCGCGATGACACACTTAACGAGATCAAACTGAAAACTATTATAAATATATACACAAAATATGATAAAAAAAAGAACAAGATAATAACGAAGAAGAAGAAGAAGAAGAAGTAAAAAAATGAAACTACGAAACAATAAGGCAAGCGATTAATCTCCTTGTTCACACATTTCAACAAAACTTGTTTTGATTCGATCGATCTATGCTTTCTCGCGAACTCCCCGAGAACTCCAAGACGTACTAACTTAGAACAAATTGTAGACAATTTATTATTAAATAAAATGACAAAATAAAGCGACATTTGAAACGAATTGCGACATGGCGCAAGACGATTTCTATGTGCTATTACAACCCCCTTTATAATTATATTTTATTCGTTTTTATTATATTTATTATCTTACGACAATCGTGCAAGTAAAAACACAAAAATAATTACTAATTAGGAAACAAACAAACACAAAAATAGGTAAGAGAGAAATGGCACGTAAATATACATTAACAGCACCATAATTCATTATTTCTAATAAAATATTTGCATAAATGTACACGTACCTATTCCATCATCATCAAATTCGTTGAAAAGTTCATAGGTTGAATCATGACGTTCATATCAATAAACAGAATAAATTTTTAAGTATAATTTACTTTTTTTTTTCTATAAAAACATTTTGATTTTCAGAACAGAATGTTTTAGAATCGTCTTAGAATCCACATTGGGCCAAGGTAATAAGATCAATGTCAATATAGGAATCGTGTCAGTTTGCCGACTGAGAAGATATATTTTTATAGGATGATCTGAGAATTGTGGAATCTCAGTAAGATAAAGGTACTTGGAAAAAAAAAGAAAATACGTGCAAGGCGTCTATGACACTGATTACTGAGAATTACTGCAATTTCCTTGATTTTCTTCTATGCGTACAAAACGCGAACGTTTCGGAAAGTAGAGCGTGCCAGTTAATAGTCGGACTTGCGAAAGATCTTTGATTATCGTTCGAGAAAAAAAAATAAATAATGTTGGTAACGTTTTAAAGTAATATTTATAAAATGTCTTTATTTTTTTTTTTTTATCTTTTATTATATTTAATATATAAAAGAAAAAACAATGTATCCCCTTTCTAAATGATTATATCCTTTATCAAGGAGACAGGATCATAGTTGTCCTAAAAGATTAACTAATGTTTCGGGACAATCTCGTGACTAATGCACATCCAAAATCTAGCCTGACACGTTGTAGGCATTAATCATGATTAGAAGAAGACGAGGCTAAATGTGTATAGGTGTCATCAACTTGTGTCAGACATAACAAATGTTCGCGAGTGGTATATAACATCGAGTTGCTTGAAAAATATTTAATCCGACATTTAATAATTGATCAAATTACACTTCCCTTGATAAAGTAACGAAAGATTAGATCGGGCAGGTGAATACTAAAGTAACTTGATGATTATTATTAAAGAAAAGTATAAATGAATAGTAAATGGATTCTCACGAATGTACGAAAACATTTCAGAATCTACAAACGTTTAGGGATTGGATTGGTTCAATGGTAGGTGGGCCAGAAACAGGTTGGTTCTCTCTCTCTCTCTCTCTCTCTTTCTCTCTTTCGTTTGACGATGAAATAATGCGGCCGGTGTCATTATGCACGCATTTATTTCCACTGTCCCGTGCACATCCAATCCTGGATCGTGATCCATGCGAATGGATTCATTATCTTCAACAACGTGACAAGGCTGTGGGCAGTCTACTAATGCAGCAAGGGACGGATGTGACGTAATCTGAGGTCACCCACGCAAGTGGCGCGCGCGAGACTCCAGAAAAGCGCAGGCGTTTGCACGCGCGTTAAACCGAAATCAACAATCATTCTCATTCGATATTTAGTTTTACAGTCGCATACTATCGTATATTTTTATCCTAATCATTTTCATGAAGATTTAATCGGCAAAATTTTTGACACCTCCCCCCCCGCTACCTCCTTTCAACAGGAAAATGCTCGTTTATAATAGAAGATATAACTGCGCAATCATTTCCTATTCTATTGCGTTCACACGTGAGAATTGCAAACAGGTCTCTGTAACATATGCTGAATCAAGTTAAATAATCATCGAGGATTTGAAGAAATTTGGAAGAAATTTGGAAGATAATTTTCATCAGGAAATGAATTGTTTTTTAAATCTTTTGTCATAACTATGGATAAGTATTGGAGTACTCAAGTTCGTTAAAGAAGAATATATGCATCCTATCGACCCGTTTAATACAATTTGATCTAAACTATGCGTGGGCGAATAATCAATGCGGTAGTTCAATTTGCTCGGTACAACTTTATGTCAGCAACACTATCGCTTAGAAACAAGTGCACGAGTACGAATGTTTTATTTAGAAATAGACATTTTAACATATCACGATAAAAAAAATTCACTTTCTTTTATTATTACTAATTTATTTATTAACACAAATGTACTTTAAGGAAATAAAATAAATACTATGGAAGTTTGGAGTATATTGCAATTATTGTGTTGTTATATATGCAAACTAATAAAAAATAAATAAATATTTCTTATCGAAATATCAACGAGTCGAATTATTTAATCATCGATTATGGTATAAAATATTGAACTGGTAAAATATTTTACTAAATTATTTTTATTTGTTTAATAATAAATATTAATTAATATTTCATATATTTTTGACGTATAACAAATTAATTGAAAGAGTCATTCGATCTTTGATCTTCGTCGACTTTGAAACAGATTAGGAATCTTATCAATGCATTACCACCCTTTTTCTATATCTCCATTCAAAAACTTAAGAAGACCTTTGGTGAAAAGCCAAGCGTAGACTTAAGGATCAGAGGCTTGCTGAATGCTTATTTCGTTCTTCCGTTCGATTTGAAAGAGAGCACTCGCTTTCGTTGCTCGAACAAATGCATTTTATAAGACGCGATAAGATCAAAGGGATAGTTAGCATAACTTCGTGAATAAGATTCGTCTGGTGTGATTTTCGTTTTTGAAATTAATTTTTTTTAAACAAACATATTTTCATAAAGAATTGAATTAAATAAACTAAATTCAAGTAAAACAAAAAGTCTTCCCAAATTAGTATAAATAGATCAAATATAGATTTATTATTATAAAAATAAAAAAATAAAAAAACAGAACAGAAAGAATGAAATAAATTTAAATCAATTTATTATTCCTATCAATTTCATTTTTATCTTCACAAATTTGTTAGAAGTTTATTTTTGTTATGATTTGAGTAGAATATACATACGTGTGTAGAATAAATGATTGATAAAACGTAACAAGAATGAGTAAAATTATTTAGTCTGTTGAAACTGAAACAATGTTGATACCCCCACTAAAGTGTCAAAGTTATCAAAAAGATTTATTTAGGCAACGAGAGTTTAGGCTAGCTCAAACATACGTAGAATCCCATAGGCTTCCCTTTGAATGTGCAGACTCCTCCTCGCGACACCTCCTCCGTAGATTTACTCTCTCGTATCCGCTCGGAATAGTACGAGGAATATTCTCGCTGGTAGACGTAGTCCAGTCGTGTTCGCAGAGACACTCACTCACTCATTCACTCTCAAACATCAAGCAACGTTGAGAATATCAAGCGATTATTACTTCGAGAAGAATTAATTCGCGATTTATAATAATCGATCTCAAAGATCGAACGAGCAGTGTTTTTTGTCACTTTTCGAAAATTTAATTTGAAAAGTGATGAAGAGGTATACGATATCAAAACTGTGATCAGAGTATCGATAATACAAGAAAGAAGAAATAAAACAAAAGAAGGAGAAGATAAAGTGGAGAAAAATAATAAAAAATAAGCAATCGTGAAAGTGTCCTAACGTGCCCTACGAAATTATTTTGTTTACAGTGATTTTGGGTGATAACGAATGTGTAATTTCTTTCATCGTGAATCAGTCATCGTTTTTATTTAGGGGTGCTACGATTAATTGCATGTTATTTTAAACAAGGAGTTGTTTCGAGGAATATTTGAAAAACGAATCCATGCGTTTGTGAGAGGATAATAAAACGTCCCTCGATCTACGAGAATGACCGGCACCCGAAGCTTTCTTCAATGGCTGCCACCTTTGCTCGTCTTTTGCCAAGGTAATTTACATTGCAATTATTTTTCTTTGTTTTTATTTATTTCTACCAACAAAATAATATATTCTTTTACTTTCTATTTAATTTTAATTAATTTACATTTAACGTTAATATAAAGAAGATTTCTTTTTGTTCTTTATAAGATTTAATTTATCTTTGATTTAGTCAAACAAAGGAACTTAGTACTTTTAGAACAATTAGATCTTATGAAGAGAAACGAGTATCGGTGATTTCTTCGTTAAGTAGTTAGGGAGAGCTCGTTTACAATTGTCTGATATCAAGTGCCATTACTACTTGCACTAGTTCGTGCGCTAATTTGATTGAAACCGATTGACATGCTGTGAGAACTCGCGTTTAATTTCTTTCCTTATAGTTCTTTCTTTCTTTCTTTCTTTTTTTTCTTTTACATATTTTTTTGTTCATATTATTTTCAGTATTCAACTACGGCTTGATATTGGAGGAAGAAACAGAACCAAATTATTTGACGGCTGCTGTCGGAGAATACGTGGTATTCAATTGTGATCTTGACTTTCCGCACGAGACACCAATCCCGTATATTCTACAATGGAACCGGGATGTAAGTGTTTAAATAGAATATTTCCGTGTTAAAATAGATAGTAAAACTTCGTCGTAATTTTACGTTCCTCATCTTTGTATTTTATTCCAATATCAATACAATTTTTATTTTCAAAACTTCAATGGAATCTATTGGAAATGACTTTAAGTTTATTTGAAAGAATAAAATATAAAACTGAAAGATACTATTTAAAAGCTTTGAGTTTTTCAAATAAACCATCAACATTTTTTTATGTAACAATCGTAAAAAGATATCGATTCTAGTACGATATGGTAACGTTATTAAATTCACGTAATACTATTTTCTTCGCAATGTGGTTTTTGCGGTATGTTAGAGGGATGACGATAACGCATATAAACTAGTATTGATGACAGTGTGTTTTACGATCATATTAAAAAAAAAAAAAAAACAATCGTTAATATCGTGAGAAGGTCAGTTTCATTAATAAATTAGTTTAAAAAGTATCCGATGGAGTGGAGGAAAAGATTTGATTTGGTAATTCAAGGCAGGGTAGGTTATTCTATTTCTTCGATACAGATTAACCAACTTCGATAACGTCGTTGAATCGTCGTGGGAACTTTGCTACCCGAGCAAGTTTAGATTTCATCACGTTCGTTGGCGTTATGCAATACGAACACCTCGCGACTTGGTCGAAAATATGGAACGCTTGGTGGTTAAGAAAAACATTTTTATACGTCATGTTAGAAATCTTATTGCACGAACTTGTTCAGTAGATGATATCGTTGTCCATGCTCTACTAAACATTATCAACTAAGTAATACATTATCAACTGTTCAACAAGAAAAACAAATAAGAAAACAAACATTGGTACATCGTTAAAGTCAGCAAACTTAATCGAACACGATTGACATCTGCTGATGATTTTTCCGGTTTGTCAGTTTAGTTGACGGACATTACGTCCTACGCGTCAAAAGAGAATGAGAATCGTAGAACGGAAACATAGTGTGCGTTGTCACATGGCTAGAACATAAAATCAAGTGGAACTTAACCCGATTGGTCCCTGATGCGTATGCAAAACAGGTGCTCTCTTTCCCTCTCTCTCTTTCTTTCTCTCTTTCTCACTCACTCACTCTCTCACTCTCTCATTCTATCCTTATAGAAGTAATTGGAGTACGGGGCACAAGGCTGCATTATATTTAGTCACTACTAGTCCGCGACACGAGGGGTCCAACCAGTGGGTCACTGCTAACGCATTGTCAAACGATTAGGGACGATTAGCACTGTTTTTACTAGCCTTGCTTCAGTCCTCCTACCCTAAGTCACGTTTAACGCAAATCTTTAGCCTTTTTCCGGAACTCGTCTAGACACACCTTTTTTTTCTCTATCTCTCCTATGATAAAGCGCATTCTAAGTTGAATAATATAATCTAATTGGAAACGTAGGATAGTAATCCTAATTATATTCTCTTTAATAATTGATGAGCATTTTCATTCTTTAGACACGCGCGCTACGCTTTTACGAAGAATCGCGTGAGCGTTTTCCTCTTCAAAATGATGGGAGGTTGTTAAAGATCATCGTTTTCAATTATTATCAGGTTACACGTTGCAATTTTCGTTTTTCTTCTTCGAAGGATCTCCTTCTTTTACCTTTTATTTTTTTTTTTTTTCATTTTGAATACGGTCGAAGAAGAAACGACGTAGTAGTTAATAGCAAAATAGCTATCTGAATTCCTAGGATGAAATAAAGTCTATGTAATCTAGGTCGACTAATAAATTTCAGTTGACCGAGAAAGAAAATAATTTACAATCTAAGAATTGTTTTCTTCTTGGAATCGTTAGAACCGATCGACTTGTTTGTTTTATATATTTTTTTTTCAGGGCCACAGTGTTTTCTCGTGGTACGATGGGACGATGACCTTGGATCCTCGTTATCAAGAACGCATACATTTTTTGAAAGACGCATTATCTCGCGGATACGGTGAGGGTAGCATCAATCTCACCAACATCAGGGAAAGCGATCAGGGATGGTACGAGTGTCGTGTTATATTTCCAAACAGGACACCTAATTCAAGGAAAAATGGCACCTGGTTTCATCTTGCCATCGATGGTAAGGATAACACGTTCCTTTCATTTTCATTATAGTTAATTTATTCGATTTACTTTACTAACTCGATTTAATTCTTTCATTCTATCTCGCTAAAGCTGAAAGATATATTAACCTAAATCGTGGATAAAAACGTGTTACTGAACTGAACTAACCGTGAAGACCTAATCGAGGTCAGCCTACTATTTCGTCTCTAACTGAACTACCTAACAAACATACAATGTATGTTCCTTTTTCAGCAGTTTGTGCTATGAAACAAAAACAATGTTTTATTCTTTAGATTTGTTCTTTTTGATTATTGTTGATACAAAGCTGATGAAACTAATTTTTGATTGCTTTATTATTAATTTTATTCGTTCAACGGAAACACGCGAATTCTAAATACAATTCTAAAACCTAAAATAGAATTATCGTTCATATATCTAATTATTTTTATTTTGTTGTTTAATATTTCGTGACAAGTGTAAAATTACTCGCGTTACTAGAGAGGACTGTACTAATTAATTCAAGCAGAGTTCTGGTTTCAGCATATTAAATTGTCAACTGGATGACTTGAGAGAGCCTCTCTGAATTACTACGTGCGTGGGTTAATCTTCAATTATTAGTAACGATATAATGTTAACGTGAACATTTTTCAGATTTTAGTGGATTTTCTAATCTATCGTATACAGTGAATTAGATTGGTTAAAAATGAAATGTAGCAATATCCGTTTTTGCAATGAAATTGATTTTTTTATTTTACTTAGAAGTCAATGTGCTATACTATGGTTAAAAAAGAAGATATTCACTTGGTAAAATAAAAAAACGAGTTCAACTTGTCGAACAATAATATCCTAGATACATTTTATTGTATTTATTCCAGAACAAGTACAGATTCGTCCGAACAAAAAAAAACGCACACACCTTTTCTCTCGATCTATCGAAACTATCAAACAATGCATCACAAAAAAGATGATTTTCTCGTTGATCGATTAAATACAATTGCATCCCATCTAAAGTTTACGTGCATCCGGCTTTCGAGCTCTGGTTAACTCGTGTTAAATGCAACAAAAGAAATTTTTCTGCACGTTCAATTTATAAATAATAATACTATAAATTAATTTACTTACAAAACGCGTTAACGTGCTTTTTCGCGTTAGATCGTTGATGCATTGATTTAAGCAAGATATAATAATATTTATAATCCAGCCTACAATTAACAAACCAACACTGGGCAGACCTTGTTAAATCGTTCAATCCAGGTGTGTCGCCGCTTCCGACAAATGTTCCAGGTGAGACCCTCTTCACGACGCCACCCGTCAACAAATCTGTCATGGAAGGGGAACCAGTTTCTTTCGATTGCGTCGTCAAAGATAATTCATCTACCGTTAATTGGTTCCACGAAGGTATTGAGATCTCGCAAGTTAAGGTAAGCTTAAAATATAACTAAAACAAAAATCATATATATAGTTTCATATTTATCCAAAAAATTTATAGAGAAAATTAATATTGGCAGTTTAAGATGAATATTTCGACAATTATTTTATTTATAAATTGAATTTTGTTCATCTAAAGGATCTCGAGAGAAGAGCTTCCATCAAGGAAGACGGAACGTTGGTAATAAAGTCAACTTTAATGAGTGATCTTGGAGAGTACACTTGCGGGGTGACCGGTTGGAATGGGAATCAACAAAATGCCTCGGCCTTTCTCAACGTCCAATGTAATTTCTTTGAACTTACTTGCCTTAGAGATCTTATTTCATTCAACACAATGTTCGTTTTACTTCATTTTAGATAAGGCAAAGGTCATTTATGCTCCTAGAGAAGTTTATCTTCCTTATGGAAAGCCAGCCCTTTTGGATTGTCATTTTAGGGCTAATCCACCGCTGACGAATCTTCGTTGGGAAAAGGACGGATTTCTCTTTGATCCTTACAATGTTCAAGGTGTATTTTACAGAAGAAATGGATCTCTTTACTTTAGCAAAGTAGACGAAACGCATTCCGGAAGTTACAGTTGTACTCCATACAATGATCTGGGTACCGATGGGCCTAGTCCTGCTATCAATGTCGTTAGTATTAGAATTATATTAATTGTATAAAACTTTGAATTAATAATAATTAAATGTATGTTTTTGATTATTAGCAACATATTGAATGAGAGTAATTTAATATTTTTTTTGTTCATTTGAGAGTACGTTGAATCAATTTGATTACTGTAAAAGACAACGTGACAACGTTTACTAGAGAGACCATTGACCAATTGACGATCTCACCGTTAAACGCTCTTTTATTCTTCAATTGTGCATCCCTAGAGTTACAGCACTTCTGGACTTAACAGATGGTCTTCTAACATGCATCGTCGTTAAATTTAGGACACTTATATTATATCTTCAAATTAAAATTTAGATAATTAATAATATAAACATTTGATCAGTAGAATATAATGCAGTTACAATATTATTTACATTGTACAGGTTGTTCAAAGACCACCGGTTTTCACGGTAACACCTCAACATTTATACATGAGAAAATTAGGAGAAAGTTTGGAAATTCCGTGCGATGCAAGGGATGGTGATCATAGTCATCGACCCACAATAGCATGGTACAAAGTCAGTTCAACAAATAAATTCTATTTAAAAGTGTATATAACATTGTAATAAATTAATAATAATTTAGGAAAATATTAATACAATTTATAGGACGGTTCACCACTACCACGTGAAAGGACTATCCTAACAGGTGGTAATTTGACTATAGAAAGAATTCAAGAACAAGATCGTGGATTGTATCAATGTGCAGCTAGCAATGAAGCTGCAACTGTAGTGGCAGATGCTGAATTAATGGTTTTAAATATTCCACCAAGGGCACCATACAATCTCAATGCCAATAGTAGCAGAAATGCTGTAACTTTGACGTGGGTACCGGGTTATGTTAGACCAAAGATGGAATACTCTGTCTGGTAATAAAATAATTATTTTCTTTAAAACAAACATGTGTGTATATATTCATGAATAAAAATGTTCATTTTTTATTTTACAGGTATAGACCAACCGATATGTCTGAATGGAGAACGATGAAAATACTTTCTCGAAAGATCACTGAAGCTACTGTAAACAATTTGAATCCTGGTAGAGAATACGAGTTCATGGTTCTGAGTCAAGACAAGCACGGTGATGGAATGTTTAGTAAAGCGTTACGAGTATTTACCAAACCTAGTAAGTATGATCAAATTTAAAATAATATAAATTATTATTAAATAATTAATATAACATTAAATGTGTGAATTTATATTACAGCTGCCATGGATCATAACTCAGCATCAGAATTTCGTAGTCCATTAGGTTTGTAAAAATATTATATAAAAATTAGAAACTATAGAAATTTGTGTTCTAACGTTAATTGTTTGTTTTAAATCCAGAGGAAGAGAGAATGGGTCCACCACGTAATGTAAGGGTTCAAGCTACCGTAGAGGGTTATCTGGTTACATGGGAAGCACCATTAGAAGGTAAAGGTCAGGTTAGACTTTACGTTGTTAGATGGTTCCGTGGTCCGGCACAACATTTATATGGAAGAGTTGAAACAACTGACACTTATTATTTAGGTAAAATCTTTAATGAAATATAATCAAATGATTAATTATGAAGAAATACCAAATAATGTTTATTTAAATTACAGTGAAAACGTTAGAAGAAGAAAGTCAATATACATTTGAAGTGGCAGCCATGTCATTGTCTGACGATGAAGCTACCAGCGAACGTATAAGTTTAGAGGTACCAGCATATCGTAGAAATCGTGCAATTTCTATGGGAATAGTTGCTGGTATAGGATTTTTAGCAGCTACTTTGGCAGCTGTTTGGTGGGCTAGAAAAAGATTTTGTCGATCACCCTCCCACGAAAAATGATAATTTATTAAAGAGATCACGGTTATTAATGCATAGATTTTTTGTTTCGAAGCTGATGAGTTTACGCCAGTGTCAACGCGTTTATAATTAAAAAAAAAAAAAAAAACGTGTTATTATTCAAATAATTAATCGAATTGTTTCCTCCACGCATTTATATCGTCTCTATTATTTTCGCATTTGTCTCGAATTAGATTTGTTTTATGGAGAGATAATATCGAATGATTCATTTCTATGATTCATTTTTTTTTTTTAGTGATAACATGTTCATCAATTAAACGTATTAAATGATTATAAGATTTATTCATGAATGATAATTAGATTAATCATTGTAATATAATTTTCTTGATTTTGATATAGATATATCTTATTAACAAATAATAATAATAATAATAATAATAATAATAATAATAATAATAATAATAATAATAAATGCTTAGAGACAAAGCGAAATGTTATCTTATATGATTTTCTTGCATTATTAATTGTATTTATCATAGATATATCATAAATTGCTTTTTCTTATATTAAATAGGATGTTTCTGTGGACACTTTGATCATTCGATACAAATTATTTCGATTATCATACGAATTATCTCTAGCATTTATTTATGTTTATTAGAAATACTTAGATATTAACTTAGTATCGTTTCATTGATAATTTCTTGATGAATATTTTACACACAAATTTAATATAAAATATTAAATATCTAACATTCAGATCTAAATTTTTTTTTCTATTGTAAATAAAATATAAAATTTGTTAAATATTCGGAAAAAAATGCATTATCGTTCGTACGTTTATATTATCAAATTCGTTCGACAAAAAGGATTCGTTTTCTTTTTTTTTTTTTGTATAAAAACGTTTCTCATAAATTTCTTCATTAAATCTAATTCAATATAATTAACGTGAGACGTGACCAATTTCTGAAACATTGTGGAATCTCTTTCTCTTCAACAAAAGATCAGCAATTTGCTGGTGGTAAACGTATTCTTTGTTTCGATAAGATAAAGTACTATATATATGATTATCCCATAACATAAACCTACCTTACACAAATTGTATCATCATTTTTCATATCACATCACGTCGTATCACGGTGATTCCAGACAACAAAAAATTGTAATGCAACCAATTATCATTCAACGATCATCGTCATACTTGAAATAATAATAATAAAGTCAAAGAAAAAAAAGAAGAAAAAAACGAGAATTTTTAATCAAATTTCGTCAAATCTTTCGGGGTGGGGGATACTTTTATATTAATAAATATAGTTTAAAAAATATATATATATAAAATATAAAAACATAATTTAAAAATAATAACACATCAATATCCAAATGAATATTTGTATTAATTAAAAAGAATTATATTTTGTGTTTATCTGTAATTTCCTTTCCAAATTCTCTTTTAACAAAGAGCATGCACGTCTTGACAATTAAACTAACACTTTCTGTCAATTCAAACGAACACTATGTACTGGCCGATTTATAACGAGTAAATGCCCAATTGTAACTCACAGTGGGTTCATCATTTGAAGCAACGAATTTGACAAATGAATTAAATGAATTCCACAAGGTTCACGCGCCGGTTATCGTCTTGGCTACGAGTTACGATGATACGTACGATAATATTACATATTACGACATTTTAAACGTTCTTTATGTTTATTTTTATTTTGATTATCTTTGAAATTCAACACGAGTTATAAACTAATATATAT